ACAAAACCAGAGCTTCAAAGAGACCTAGGGGAAGGAGATGTTTGTGTGTGTGTGATGGCCAACAGTCTGGAGGCTGCAGGATAGTCTGGAGATAAGTGCTTGCCTACTACAAGGACTTTTATATATTTTCATGAATATTCAATCTCATATACTGAAAATTGAAAGTTAGGGCTAGATCAGTGATTCCAAGTATTTATCTACTCTGTATAAGGCCTTAGGTTTTATCTCAGCACTACACACTAGGGTAGCAAGCGTGTGTATTATCTGTGGGTGTGTATGATCTATGTACTAACCTTCATACAATCACAAAGATACATTCCTAAGTATTTCCTACTAAGAGACATAGCTCATGTTCAAAATATTTTACTGCAAGAGACAATGTAACATGAAAGCAAAACCACATACATCAAGTTCAAAGAAAAAGTCTTGTTCTTTAGATGCAATTTCATAATCTGCTCTTAATGCCAGGTCATGGACTTTCAAGCATTCTCCAAGATCCATTCTCTAGGAAAGAAAATAAAGACAATATATTACAAACATGTATTTTAAAATTCATCCTTATCACAGTTCTCTTTAGACTATATACTGTCATACAGTGAGTATACTTCTTCACTTAAATTGACCTTCAAATTACAAAATTTCAGATAATTAGAGCTGAGGAGGAAAGTTGGTTGGTGAGTGCTTATCTGGCACTCACAGAAAGTCCTGGATTCAATCCCTAGCTCTCCATAAACTCAATGTGGTGCTACAGACCTATATACTATCAGCACTGCGTAGATAGAAGTAAGAGGATTGGAAATTCAAGGCCAGATACGTAGGAAGTTCAAGATCAGCCTGTGCTCATGAGGAAATCTCAGAAGAAAAACAAACCAAAAAGTAAAGGGGGGGGGGGGGGGGTATGAACACTATGATTCCTAATAATACTATGGGAGGCTTTTTGGAATGAGTCAGCCTTTCTTGATTTATTACGTTATATTTTCTTTGTTCCCATGCACAGACACTTGCCATGGTGCAAATGTGGAGGAGAGCTCATCAACATGTGGGAACTGGTTCTCTCCTTCTACCAATCCAGGGGATTTGAACTCAGGCTGTCACTGAGTCATGTCATCAGCCCAGAAAAATGTTTCTCATGAAGATGCATATAAAATGACTCTAAAGAGAGGTAAACAATGCTGTTATGGCAGCAAATATCTGTAACCTTAGCATCTCAAGAGTCTCGGACTAGGGCTGGAGAGATGGCTCAGTGGAGCCAAGAACACTGGTTGCTCTTTCACAGGATTTGGTTCCATTCTGAGCACCTACGTGGCAGCTAACAATGATCTGCAACTACAATTACAGGGAGTGTGACACCCTCTTCTTGCTATGACATCCTCATCCAATACCGGCACAAATGTGGTACACAGATATACATACAGATAAAATATTCAAAATAAAAATGAATCTTGAAACATCTCAGGCTAGAGGATCTCATGGCAGACAGACAAGAAAAATCAGGTGAGGGAAGGAGGGAGGGAAGAGGCAGGAGTGGAGGAAGCAGAATTGTAGTAGTATTACAAACACATTTAGTGGAATATTCCTGCAATCATAGCATTTGAAACACGGAGACATGAAGATTCCATGTTATCAGTCAGTGTCTCCCCTCCTACCTTCAAACAAAAACCTGCTAACAAAATGAAGAAATTTCTACAGGAACAGTATTAGACTATCATCTTCACAAGTCTGAGCCTACTTGTATATATAGAAGCTAAAATGAGTCAGCCAAATTTGCTTTTTGCCAATAACCTACATATGTATGAAACAAAATATATGAACAATCATTTTGCATAGTATCCCAAAATAAAGATAAGACATTCACTAGATAAAAATTTTGAAAATTTTTTTAAAAGATTTAAAAGAACTGATATAGAGTAGGTAAAATTTAAATAATCATACTTTATATTTACAAAACTTTACAAATAGGTATGAGCAGAGAATTACAAAAATTCTAAAACTACTCAAGGTTTGGTGTGGTAGTATTAACCCCCAGGGCTTAGAAGGCAGAGGTGGCACTTTGTACATTCAAACCAGATCTACATAGGGTATCTGTAAGCCTAGTACTTAGGAAGCTGAGTTAGAAGGATCTCCAGTTGGGTTTCTTAGACTACATAACAAAACACTGCCTCAAAAAATTAAGCTAAGCCAGGCAGTGGTGGTGCATGCCTTTAATCCCAGCACTTGGGAGGCAGAGGCAGGCGGATTTCTGAGTTCGAGGCCAGCCTGGTCTACAGAGTGAGTTCCAGGACAGCCAGGGCTATACAGAGAAACCCTGTCTCGAAACCACCCCCTCCCCCCCCCCAAAAAAAAAGGAAAACACGAAAGAAAAAAAAGAAAAGAAAGAAGTTAAGGGGCTAGAAAAATGGCTCAGCTGTTTAGAACACTTGCTCCTCCTCTTCCAAATTAACTCCAGTTAAGTTCCCAGCAACCATGTCATGCAGCTCACAATGGCCTGTAATTACAGCTCAGGAATAATCACCTAGATAGTCACCTGTGTATACCTGGCACACATACACAAAGATACATGCACCCTAAAATATATAAACACACACACAAACACAAAAAAACAAAATAAGAATGTTTTACAGTAAGTTTTATAGGCATGACTAAGATAAATCTATGTGATCTAAAATAAAACTGAACTCTACCATCTCATAACTATTTCTGGTTTTTAATGAATACTTTGATCATTAAGTATACATCTTGACTTTCTCTTCTCTGATTTCATTTTTATTTGGCTTGTATTCATGTTTTAGTATTAAGATACCTGGTCTCAACTACTCATCTTTCAAAATGTACTTCTTAGGTCAGAATTTGCTCTAAAATATTTTTTTCACTCATTATCATTGCTTGTGTGTACATGGTGTGTATGGGGATGGGGGGGTGGCTGGTGTTAAAGGATGACTGTGGAGGTAAAAAAACCAACCTTGTTGATTGATTGTTCCCTCCCTCTACATTTATTTTCATGAGTTCTAAGGATGGAACTCTAGTTGCCAAGCTTGCCCACCAAGTGCTTTTATCCATGAAGCCATATTTACCAGACCAGAGTTAATTCTTAAAGCAAGCCTTCTGGAACTGGGGACTCAGCTCAGGGGCAGAGTAAGAGGCAGAGCACTTTCTTAGCAAATACAAGGCCCTGAGTTTGGTCCTCAGTCAAAAACAAAACCTCAAAACAACTAGTCTTGAGAAACTTTTTTCACTTCACTTGTGTCCTTCTAAAATCAACTATAATGAGGTATATCTGCACCCCAGTATCTTCAGCATCAACATCATTTCTCCAGGAACTTAGCAAGACAACAACTATTACAAGATAGTGTCTCTCAATTCTAGAAACTAGTCAATGTTTTCTCTTTCTATATCTGCTTTGATATGGTACAGGGCTGGCCATTAAAAAAAAAAAAAAAAGTAAGTCCATAAAGAAACTCTCGCTGGGCGGTGGTGGCGCTCGCCTTTAATCCCAGCACTTGGGAGGCAGAGGCAGGCAGATTTCTGAGTTCGAGGCCAGCTTGGTCTACAGAGTGAGTTCCAGGACAGCCAGGGCTACACAGAGAAACCCTGTCTCGAAAAAACAAAACAAAACAAAACAAAAAAAAAAAAAAAAGAAACTCTCAACAACATCCTGCCCTTGTAAAAGTCAATGCAAGGGAAAACCTACCTTGGTTAACAATTTCCTTGACCTTAGTCTCCTAACCAATCAGGGAAATAGGATGTGAGGTGGGATGTACATTACTATGAGACATTTGAATTCTTTTTGTAACCTTATTTTTGTTGTTTGTTGTAATAATGGATATTAAAAATCCTGGCTTCTTCCTCACCTTTGACCATTTATGTTCCTGGATGAAAGATGCTCACATTTTTACTATGCCACCGTAGATAGCACAATAGCTGGGCAGCTGCCTACACGCCATGCAGTTGTGCTAAGGGTTTTGGGGTTTTAGAGATAAGGTTTCTGTGTGGCCCTGAATGTCCTTGAACTCAGAGTATATTAATACGTACGTACACACACACCCCACTGAAACAAACTAGGAACAATAACAGATCCAATTATAACTAGATGTTCAGAAACATAAGGATTTTACTTCAATAGTGTACACCAAAACTGAAAACCAAGTAAGTTACTGATAGTAATATAAATAATAATCATTGGATAAAATATAAAAAAATCCTATTATAAAATATCATACATGAGTGGGATATGGTAACACATATCTTTAATCCCACCACTATGAAGGCAGAGGCAGGAGGATCACAGTGAGTTCAAGGACAGCCTGATCTATATAGTGAGTTCCAGGACACTCATTGTTATATGGATCAAATTAGATGTTTATAAAAACACTTTGAAGGTAACAATGTAGTTACTTGTGTATACTGACTAAACTGAGTTGATAATTCAATAGAAACAGTTTTGATCACTGTTATACTCCTTAGGCCTATAACAGGGGCCACCACTCCTTGTGCTAAGTTCCCTGCCATGCAGTATTATAATTCAACAAGTGTTGAAGAACAAAGAACATGTTTTCTTGACTCATAACTTTTCAAGGCAACTTATAAAAGGTTACTTCTATCAAGTATATATGAAGTACATTTCCAGGAAAAGTAAGGCCAGTTTACACATACTAAAGATTAATAGGCAATATGTTCAGTACCTGTTTTCAAAGAATAATAAATTATATCCTATTTGGAGAACAAAGAGTGACATAACCAGCTGGTGAGATGGCTCAGCAGTTAAGAGCACCGATTGCTTTTCCAGAGGTACTGAGTTTAATTTCCAGCAACCACATGGTGGCTCACAACCATCTGTGATGGGATCCAGTGTTAAAGAGTAACATAACTAGAACCAAATGACTTTCTAGAAGAGGATTGTGGGAAATGGTTTACATATTCAAAAACATGAGCATTAACACAGTAGGATGGACTGAGAAGGAAAAAAAAAGAGAGAGAACAATAAGAAGTGAATATAAAGACGTCACTACAGCCTAGAATTAATACCACAACCATCAATGGATAGTTGTGGTTACTCAAGGCAGTAGGATTTGCTGAAGGAGAAGACAGGACGATTATAATTAAGTTCAAGGCCAGCCTGGGCTACTGATGAGCTGGAAGAGTCTGCTCAGTAGTTAAAAATACTTGTTCTTGCAAAGGGATCAGATTTGACTCCCAGTACCCACATGGAAGATCATCTCCTTGGGCATCAGGCATACATTAGTACAAAACACTCTTAGACAAAAAGTAAATCTAAATAAGTAAATAAAAATAAAGTTAAAAAAAACCCAACAATCCAATTATAAAAGGAAAGAGAATAGAGGCACCCAGAGTGCTAAAGAAAGGTAAAAGCAGATGTTAACAGTATAATCTAAGTTCTTTATACTTTTATTAATTTAAATATTTAATTTATCTTCTTGTATTTTCTTACGGGAATTCTAAAATTTCAAAGGGAAGAATGAAAGATAATCAAATGTGGATAATAATAA